ATGCCACAAAAATTATATAGAAACACCAAACCTGAGATACAGGATGGTTGTTTTTCATTTGAACAAAAAATACATGATACTTGATCAGGACAGGAAAAAAGAAAATGAGATGTTAGAAGATTCTGGATTCACTTGAGAGAAAATGGATGCTAGTCAGTAGCATCTGCACATGTTATTGACAGAAGGAAGAACAAAGAGAGGTCACATGCTGAAACGTACACAGCTGTATTTCCAAGCATTCATATATTATAATTACAAGTCCTGTTATGATATTGAGGCGATGAATAAGCCAAAATGCAGGTATAGATATGGGTGAAGTAATGCAGAGCAGCAACATGTAAATCAAAGAAGTCCTGTTTACTTTGTAATTTTAAAGCAATCAATTTTATAATGTTATTTTGGAAATGATCAGAACGGTTGATGTCTTCCAACAATGAACAATCTCACCTTCTTCATTTCATAAAAACATTATGACCAAGAAAGTTCTACTATGGTACTGCCTAAGCCCCTTCTTCAATAATTATTAAAGATCTCAACTCTTGATTTCAACCTACCTTCTCAAAGGTATTATTTTAACAGAGGCTCAAAATGACAAAATTACTACTACCTCCCTGTCTCCATGACAGATAACCATGAAATGAAGAAGTGATTCAGTATTAATTTTCCACTATTCTTCTTTGGTTGAAGCAGAGACGTCTTAATTAGGATGAAGAAGAGAAAACTTGAATAGATTTCATCAATTAAATCTAGTAAACCACATGTTGAAAGACACATAAATCCACATGTATCGATTTATAACCCACAAGAACCAGATGCTAGTCCCAAACAGGTAACTAACAACCACACAAAAGAAAAGGAAGTGATTGGCGGCTTGGTCCAGACTTTGACAAGACTACCTTTTCCCCTTGATGAACTTCACAAGAGCCAAGCAACTGTTTGACAACAAGATCATCATCTACCACCAACTCTGTGGTGTGCACATCTGCTGAGAATCCTTTGCCTGTCATCTCACTGATAAGTTGCACTGCCCTTGGATCCTTGTGCTGGAGAAGTCCTCGGATAAAAACATTATAAGAACAATTATCTGGTGGGCAGCCATCCTCTTCCATTTGTCTGAAAGCTTTGTATGCTTCATCTAGCAATCCTTCCTTGCAAAGTCCATTGATTATTGTAGTCCAAACCCGAACATTAGGCTGCAGCCCTTTGACAGAGAGTTCCAAAAACAGCTCCATTGCATCTTTAAGCTTCCCAGATTTGCACATGGCATCGATTATGATATTATAGATTGCCAAATCAGGCTTCATGTAACTATCTTGCATGTCTCGAAAAAGTCCCAACGCCTGATCAAAACAACCTTGCTTGATTAAGCCATCAAGCAAAATTGAGCAAGTTATTAAATTTAGGGAGTGGCCCTGGGTATACATATCCTTCAAAAGCTCTTTTGCTTCCAAAACTCTCCCTGCTTGAAACAAGCCACCTATAAGATTGGAGTAACTAACAGTGTCGGGAATTAGGCCGTGATGAATCATTTCATCAAAAACCTGCTTCGCATCATCTATCCTCTTGGTCTTACAGTATCCATTGATCAGAATACTATAACTAAGAACATCAGGTGAACAACCCTTGCTTATCATAACATCCAATATTTTTCTCGCTTCAACAACTTCCCTTCGGAGACAGTACCCGTCCATCAATGAATTATAAGTAAAAATGTTAGGCTCCACACCTTTTTCTGTCATTTGTTTTAATACACCTTGAGCCTCTGAAACCTCGCCTTCTTTACACAGTGTATCAATCAACATGCTGAATGTAACTACATCCGGCATGATATTCAGACCCATCATTTCATTTAACAACGCTGAAGCCTCCTTCCACTGGTCTGAATTGCATAAGCCATGCATTAAAGAGGTGTATGTGATAACATCTGGCTCAATGCTTTTACCCTTCATCTGAGAGAAGATATCTAAAGCCTCATTGACTAGTCTATCCTTGCAAAGGTTATCAATAATTGTATTGTATGTCACAACATCCGGCTCACAACCTGCCTCGTCCATTTTCTTGAGCAATCCAGCAGCCACAGAGGTATCTCCAATCTTACACAAACCATTGATAATCGTATTATAAGTATGTAGATTAGGTTCATATCCTCTTGCCACCATGTCATTAAAGAATTCTACAGCTCGAGCAATTCTACCCTCAACACAAAGCCCATTAACTAAGGTAGAAAAAGTGACAACACTGGGTTCAAAACCAAGTTTAATGATTTTGGCCAACACAGAGAACCCAGAATCAGCATGTAAGTGGCAGAAGCAATTAATCAAGATGTTAAAGGTATAAACATTATGAGAGATTCCTGCAAGTTCCATTTGTTTGGACAAAAAGACCACAGTCTCATAATATCTCATTCTGACAACTGCAGACAATAATTTACTGAATTGGACAATAGAAGGCTGAGGTTGCAAATTAAGCATGTGATTGAAGGCAGACAAGGCATCATTAATGTTGCTAAAAGAACAACCTTTTTTGTCTTTACTATGCCTGTAGCTACCACTACTACTGCAAGAATGAAGGCAGCAAAAGGGGTTATTGTCTTTGAACAATAAAGAGGGTTTAAGAATCATACCCATATTTCTTATTTGGCTTCGTTCAAAAGGAAACCCAAGAAAGGCTGGAGAAGCTGGAGATGCAGCAGAAGATGGAGCGAGCAGAAGGCTTAGCCGCTTCAATGCCATCGTTGTAAGAATTTTTACTCTCGCTCTCTCTGTTTTCTCCCTGCGGTCTTTCTGCTTCGTTATTAGGAAACGTTATGGGCTTTAATGACCATTTCATCTTTGGGCCTATGACTCCTAATGGATCGGGTTTATCCGTTTCTTTTTTAATTGGTGAAATTATATTTTGATATAGAATTTTTCAAGAAAATAAATAAGTCCATTCAAACCTTGAATATAATTTAATTTTGGATGAAAAAATGTTTTTATAAATTAATTATTCATGCAATTTTTTTTTCCGACCAAAACATGTCTTTTTTATACTAGTAGCTTGTTTCTTTGAATAAAAAGTAAAGATGGTTAAAATATTTTTCTTTAAATTCTAATAATTATAAATAAGCACGTAAAAATATATCTTTTAAATCTAAATCTCATTTATTTATTTTTGTCTCAAAATAAATCTTATATATATATATATATCAAGTTGTTTTTATGTAAGTGCTTATTTTTATTATTATCTAATTAAATAAAAATAGTTTCAAGAGAGAAGGATATCAAATCCAAGATAATAACCCTTGTTAGTCCAACTGAATCTAGCAGCGTGCATGGAGACTGAAGTGGATGCTCGAGAGCCCAGAACCACCTCCTGAAAACTGATACAACTGGATCCATCATAAAACCAAGGCAACAGATCAAGATAGCTATCAAAAACTCTAGCGTCAAAGAACTTACAATCTTCAGCTTCATTCACGATCTAATCTTTCACCTCTCTTTTCTCCCTTTCCCCTAGATCCATTGCATCTTGCCTGCAGAAAAAGGATCTGAAATGTTTATCCACACGCAAGAATTATACAGAAACACCGCAGGATGGTTGTTTTCTCTTGAACAACAGATACAGACTAATAATACCTTATATGAAGCTATTACGTCACCCTTTCCCCTTGATGAACTTCACAAAAGCCACCAGCTGTTTGCCGAGAATCCTTTGCCTGGCCTTGGATCCTTGTGCTCGAGAAGTCCTGGGATCAACTCTTGTGCATGTCTCGAAATGGTCCCCCCACCTTATGATACCCTTTGTTTCCTCAAGCCATCATGCAAGCAAAGCTGAGTTAGTCATCAAATATGGGGATGTGCCTTCCACACCATAAGTGTTTGTAAATACGAAAGTGATTATTTTTTTATAATATTTTTAATAAAAAAATATTTTAAAATATATATATTTTTTTATTTTTAAAAAATTATTTTTGATAATAGAACATTAAAATGATTCAAAAACATAAAAATATATATATTTTTTTCACTTGAAAAAATATCAAAATAATATTTTTTTTAAAAAATTATTTTTGATATCAATTCATTAAAATGATTTGAAAATACAAAAAATAGTAATTAAAAATTAAAAATCAAAAACTTTTTTAAAAATATTTTTAAAATACAAAAACAAACAAGAAAACACCCCTACAATCCTCAATTACCTCTTTTCCACCCAAAACAATAAAAAAGTCAAGAATTAAATTGGATTTAAAAAACCTTTTCAAGTATACATCTATTTTTCTAGCATTTTTGATGGAAAATACTACCACAAATTTATTTTTTTTACAAGAGGATCTATTAACATCAAGGCTTTTTTTAGTAGCCAAGCAAATATTCTATCTTCATGATCCACTTTATCTTTCTTCGTAACTAAAAAAATAAATAAAAAATATTAAATTTAAAAAACTAAAAGGATCGAAAAAGAGTGAAAATAAAAATTGTGGACTAAAACATCTTTTTTTTAGATTAACGTGAGTATCCGGGCCGGCTTGCGCGCATCACGATTAATCCCAACTAAAACACCATTTTTGCTCAAAGGCATCAATGACCACTTGGTTTTTTTACGGGTTTTTAACTTTAATCATGTGACTTAGAACTTTGACTTTTAATTGTAAAATAAAAGAAATTGGTCATTAAAAGAGAAAAAAGTTTAAAAATCAAAATGAAATAAAAAAAGCAATGACCAATATGTGAATAGTAAAACAGTGAATGAGCAGTGAAATGTATCTTAACGCCCAACAAATAAACATGAATTTCCTGTTTTGTTTAGGTTTTTTTAAGATTAGATTTAGATAATCCGAAATTCTTATATGATATATAAATATTAATTAGGTTATAATTATTGATTTTTTATTCGAATATGATGAAGCACATCTTATACGATTTCATTCTTCAAATTTTCTACCTCCGAAATATCTCTCAATAAGATAAAATAAATCAAAAAACAATTCAAATAGAATCAAATTTCCCCGCCAAAACCTCCTTCTCTCTCTCGAATGTCGATGGAGAAAGGTTTGATATCAGTGGATCGATTCACCGAGTCAAGCCAGGCATACTTCTTGACTCACTTACACACGGACCACACTCAAGGCTTGACCTCAAAATGGGGAAAAGGTCCTCTCTTTTGCTCCAAACTAACCGCTAAGCTCCTACCTTTCAAGTTCCCTGATTTCAACCTCTCTCTACTTCGCGTCGTCGATCTTCACATCTGGCATTCCTTTTCTCTCATCTCTCCGACCACCGGATCTCAAATCACCGCTCATGTCATGGCTGTCGACGCCCACCACTGCCCTGGTACGCCAATTTTTTTATGTTTTCTTTTTTATCCCGGGACCCATCGGCCGAGTTCGCTTGCTTATTAAATTGCTATGCATGAGATATTTTGGGAATCAATTTCGGAAAGAAAAATAAATACCTTTCCGAAATCACTTCTTTTATGGTTGGCTATGGCGATTTGATGGGATTGAACTGTAACAGGAGGGGTCATGTTTTTGTTTCGCGGGGAGTTTGGATGCTTGATGTATACAGGGGATTTTCGATGGGAAGTTGATAGTGAAAGGGCAAAGGATGCGAGGAATAAGCTGCTTAATGTTCTCAAGAATGAGACGGTTGATGTTCTTTACTTGGATAATACGTATTGCAATCCGTCGTATGATTTTCCCACTCGAGAAGTTGCTGCTCAGCAGGTAGGATTTGCATATTTCTTGTTCACACAGCAGTTCTTTCTTTGAGTGGTTTTTGGTAAGTGCTGACGATTAATGTACATTGCGGAGAATGGATACCGGTTGATAGGGATGAAGTGTGGATAGAGAGCTAAATGTTGGTGCTGAAAATGAGAAAATATAGTGAGCAATTGATTAGTATTCGTGTCTTAGGAATGGTCATGAAAGTAAGTAGATTTATTTTAAGTTTATGGGCTTGGCGGAGATTACAGTGCTTCAAAATAAGAAAAAGATCAATTGTACAGCTTTTTTTACTGGTTTAATTACTTGGTAATGACAGGTTGTTGACATCATTGCTTCTCATCCGGAACATGACATCGTTATTGGGATTGATACTTTGGGGAAAGAAGAGCTTCTAATTCACATTTCTCATCTGCTTAACATAAAGGTACGATCATCGTTGATGTTGATGGAAGATTATGATCTTCTATATGCGTGGATTATGAAGGATGTGTTTCTGTAAAGCACAGAACCAAGTTCTTAGCTCAGTTACCATGCCTGTTTATTGTTTTTATTATGATTCTAGGGTACTCACATTTTCTCATCGTTTTACAAGAAATTAGGTGTTGGATGAAATTTAGTGAGTTACTTGCAAATTACATTTGCGAACTATTTCTGGTTCAGGTTTGTTTTAGCTTTAATTTCCTTTCCTTCTTTGAAGATTTGGGTGTGGCCAGAACGTTTACAAACCATGCATCTTCTTGGATTCCATGACACATTCACAACTAAAACTTCTCTAACAAGAGTCCGAGCAGTTCCTCGTTACAGTTTCAGCGTTGAAACCTTAGAGGGATTAAACACAATGCGGCCAACAATAGGAATCATGCCATCTGGTCTTCCATGGGTGCTGAAACCTGTTAAAGGAGATGGCAATCTCTTCGGTTCTCTCTTAACTTCTCGTTACAAAAAAAGACAGCCATCTGATAAGCTGGACGGTAATTTAGGATATGCTGAAAGGTATCACCAGTACATGTTTTCAGTTCCTTACTCTGATCACTCATGCTTTGCGGAGATACAAGAGTTTATTGAACTTGTCCAGCCAACTAACGTGAAAGGTATTGTGTCTTCATCATCTTGTTATGTTGACCCACTTTACTACTTCGGTCGCCTTTGTGGTGTCAACCAACCACCAAAGAGGTTCGTCTACAAGAACGAAGGGAAAAGGAGAGGTAAAAAAGAAGTTGTTGTATCTTATTTTGAAAGTGGTAGTTCTCCCAAGGCAGGAAGGAAAAAAAGCAGGCCAGTAAGAGTGGATTATAAAAGGGTTAATGTAAGCAGAGCGAGCGCATCAAGAAGAGTGCGCCGAGGGGCCAAAATTGTGGAAAGTGACTGTTCAGATTAAAAGTGTTAACTTTTGTGATTGGGTGAGCCAAAAAAAATACTTGTCGAAATACTTGCAATCGAGCATATATCTGTAGAACTCTGGTATGGGTATCATGTGGTACCGAAAGTTGCTGGAAATGATAATTTGCCCTATTTTCCGTATCTCGAGTTTTACTGTGCAGTAGTTGATGAACTTCATCATGAAGGATACAGTGATCCAAATTCTTCAGGTATTTTGTTAATGCAAAACTTATGGGATTTTGTCTGCTAGTGCACCCCTTATAGATATTTAAACTCTCTCAATTAACATCATCAGACACTAACTGAGAGGCTTTCAGTGCAGGCATTCACCAAGGTTTATAAGTGCTTTGCCTCATCTCATTCTGCATGTCAAACTTGATTGTATGAGCTGAAAATGTTCATTAGTAGTGTAATGTATTGAAGAATCAAGAAATGGGTTGTAGCCTCGTTGGGTCCTCTGTTAAGGTGACTTTGGTTTGACTGCAAAGTCACTACTTCTTACGGTCGACAGTCGGCCAGAACTCAACACACCGTCCACCCTTGAAATGATGCGAAGAAAAATGGCCACCTAAGTTTGAATTGGTGGTGATTTTGTGTCATGTTGCAGAAACCTGTGAGAAATTCGTGGAATTCTACATAATTTTCTTAGGAAAACTCAAAACTTCTGCTACCTTTTTGGAATGCCTTTGCCAGAACCACCTTTTTGGTCATGTTGAGCTGATGATATCTTAGTTGTTTTCTGTCAATGCTGGCTCCAGCTATTTGAATGTGGCTGCTGTGCATGCTAGCGCACTTAATCATGTGTGATCCTGCTGTTGTTTGCACTTGTTCATGTTGCTGATTCCTTAGTTTCTTTGCTCAACTTTTGTCCTCTCAGTTGCTGTTTTGGCACTAAAAAACCTTAGATGATACAGGATGCAAATGCAACATACCCAGGACCACCGTTTTTACTCTTACATGTCCATGGTAATCCATGATACTCTGCCATATATAGTGTAACATAGTTGATCTTTACACCATGTAATGGTAAAAAATTTCAGAAAAATCGTAGATTAGGAAATATAATGCCAAAGAAAATAAGAAAACTGTACAACTAACCAGGACTTTACCTTCACAATGACCTCAATAAGGGTTTCCTGCAAAGCCTGCCATACTAAAACATTGAAGTATACTCACGTGGAGAGTTCAATGAGCACTATGATATATTATTCATTAGAATCAAAGCGACTGCCTTGTTTGAGACGTGCCGATGCTACTGACTAGCCTCCTCAGTTTCTAGAATCAAGTCATACTTTTCTTTCTTGTTTGTTGTATGTGACTGAGACATCAAGACTACAAACTGTGGTTAAACAGCTTGCATAATGTTCACATGGATAAACATTTCACGCCCATTAAGTTTCTGCAGGAGAAATGCCATCAATGAAGCCGAGGAGGTGAGCGTTTAGGTTTTTAGAAATCACTTTTCCATACTCCCCTCTTCATAGCATTTACTTTTGATCATGTGCTGGTGCGTGCATACACTTTCCAAGCATGCATATAATAATAAGAAGTAGAGTTAGGATATTCAGGTGTTGAAAAATTTCTCGAGTGAATTTAGAATCTTCTACTGTCTGTATTTTTTTCTTGTCCTGTTCAAGCATGTTGTATCTGTTGTTCAAAAGAAAACAACCATCATGGCTATCAGGTTTGGTGTTTCAATATAATTTTTGCGTCTATGGATGAGGATTTCAGATCCGTTTTCTGCAAGCATAATGCTATGCATCCAGAGGAAAGAAGAAAAAGAAGGCGAGATATCAGATCATAAGTGGCTTGTTTCACAATGTTAGTTATACCACTTTTATAAGTGGCTTGTTTCAGGCAGGGAGAGATTTGGAAGCAAAAAAGCTTTTCAAGGATATGCGTGCCCAAAGCCATTTCCCAGATTTAATGACCTACTCAACTTTGCTTGATGGCTTAAGAAAACAAGGGTACCTTGATCAAGTGTTGGGACTATTTCGTGACATGCAAAAAAGTTACTTGAAGCCTCATGATTTGGTGATCTATGATATCATAATCATTGCCATGTGCAGATCTAGGAAGCTCAAAGATGCATTGGAGTTGTTTTCGGAACTCAGTCAAAGGGCTGCAGCCTGATGCTCGGGCTTGGACAATAGTAATCAAAGGACTTTGCAGAGAAGGATTGCTAGATGAAGCAGACAAAGCTTTCAGACAAATGGAAGAGGATGACGGCCCACCAGATAATTGTTCTTATAATGTTTTTATCTGAGGATTTCTCCAGCACAAGGATCCAAGGACAGTACAACTTATCAGTGAGATGAAAAGCCAAGGATTCTCAGCATATACGCAAACAACAAAGTTGGTGGTAGATGATGATCGTATTCTCAAACAGTTGCTTGGATTTGGTGAAGTACGTGTTTGGGACTAGCATTTGATTCTTGTGGGTTATAAATCGATACATGCGGGCTTATGTGTCTGTCAACATGTGTTTTGATAGATTTAATTGATGAAAGCTATTCAAGTTTTCTCTTCATCATCCTAATTAAGACGCCTCTTCTTCAACCAAATAAGAATATTGGTAGATTAGTATTGAATCACTTATTCATTCCATGGATATCTGTCATGGTGCATTTCTGCATGGAATACTACCCCTTCTCTTTTTTTCTTAGTTTTTGGGTCTTTTGTTCTGTTCATTTGGAAGACAAGATGATGTAGCTGTTTGAAAGAAATGTTAATATAATTTTGATTGGCATTAAGTCATTTGTTAATATGGGATTGCATGTTTTGTCTCTTTAGCAAATTTCTTGTAAGATTACGCTCTGAAAGTGTTAATATGTTGTATTATATAATAGTGACACCTGTGTGTTTCATTATAGGATGTGTTTGTGGAAATAAATGTTAGTTTAGGTAGCCAGTTGCTTAGATATACGTTTTATTATTATATTTATATAAATATATATATATATTTATTATTAATAAAAATTTAATTTAATGTTAATATTTATATAATATTAAATTAATAAATCTAGAGTAAAGATAAAGTTTATGAGATAAACATGCTTTGTTAGGAAAATTATAAAGTTGTTATAATTATAATATTCTTATTATATTAATAAATTGTTCCTAAAATATTCATGGTTGATACTCTTTTAAATACTAAATATTTATTAGAGTGGTAAAAATTGATACATATTATGTTCTTTTTTTTTTTTATGAAAGGAAGCAACTGTTTTTATAAGTTTGGGTATAAGGAATACGTAAAATTAATATGTAGATACTTGTCATAAAATATGTACAATGAACTGACAAGTATGATAATTTTATATGGAGAAATTACATGTTTATGGAAAGGCTCATGTAATGGTTGTATAAGTAATCATTAAACTTGAAATTACTAAATTATCTTATATAGAGAATATTATGTTATGATTTTGTTACATGTTATCTTAATTGAGGTAACAAAAGAGTAGATATTTAATATGAAATATATGAAGGTATTTGAATGATCAAGAGATTATTTATGATCCTAGTGAATTAGAAAATAAATGTTTTATTTATTTTTAAATATCATTGATCGAGAAATCTTTAGCCAAAATGGAATGAAATTTGAAAAAAAATTTAAATTTTATTCAAACGATCAATAACTATTATGTAAAAAATAAACATCATTTAACATAACAGATATACTCTATACTTTTATATTAAATCAAAATATTATTGATGAAAATATATTAATTATACTGAGAAACCGATTACTGAAAGGTTAAGTCAAATCACTATAACTTTTTTAATATTTAGGAGATCATGACATGTTGTTAAACGATAGACTTGATCTTCAAATATAAATTAATTAATTCTTGAATTGATAATAAATTAAATTGTTTAATTAATTTATTTCTATTTAATTATAATTATAATTTATATTTAAGCCAGCATATTAAGAACCTAATAAGTTAGACACATTAAGAATTATTAATTATAAATTAAATTAAGATGATTAAATTAAGTATTATTTAATTAAAATATATTTTAAAAATTAAAGACTAGAATATAATTATTACAGGAATTATATTTCTAAATCTAAAAAAAATTAAATAAAAACTTGATTGGTTAAATTTATAAAATTATCCTTCAATAATATATGTATATTATTTAAGGGTTAAACAAATATTTTATTATTTATAGAATTTTTAGGATTCCCTGTAAATATAAAGTTAAGCCTATTATTTATAAATAAAAAAAGAGTGGTTATTTGTTAGTCAGAAAAATTATGCAAACACAATATTAAAACTATAGATATAATAATTTCTCTTTTCTAAATAGGGATTTATGAGATTTTTTATAGGTGATTTGTGTAGATTATTTTTGAAGGTCGGATAATTGAATGGTTTGTGATTTACGATAACCCAGTTTTTAAAAAATTATTCAAACCCAAAAAAAATAATCAAATTTTAGATAATAAATCCCTAAATAATTTTAAATGTATCTAATGGGATCATAGAGATTTTTAAATAATTTTGTTTTATAATTTTCCCTGTGTGTATAATATTCAAAAAACCAATAGTTATATTAGAACTATCATTAGGAGGTTGTTGATTACATGTTTTAATTGTTATTAATATTAATTTCAAATTAATTTTACATGAAAAAATTAATTTTTCCAAAATTAATTTTTTTCATCTGATTTTTTTTTAAAATAATTCAATAATTATTCCGGTCAGCCGAAAGTTTTTCCAAATCTTCATCCTTGTCGTCGAGGATAATCTTTCAAGGGTATATAGGTGAAAACCAAGTCAAGACTGATCCAATTTCAACCTTTTGGAATGGATTATTTTTAGTCTTCTTGATTTTCTCTCTTTTGGTTTATATTTAAATCAATTTAAACCCAATTAAATCAGCCGAATCTTGATATGCCAAAACATTGTTTCATTAAACATGTAATGAATTTTTTTATCATAAAAAATCACGCAAGCCAAAAATATATTTTATATGTTCATGAAAGTGATTGGAGTGAGTTTTCCACAGGACAAATGAGAGCAACCAACTCGATCTTAACTACGGCTAAAATAAAAGAAACACCTTTGGTTTCTTAATTAATTCATTAAAATTGACTTTTCTAATTAACACCTTTGATTATTGTTAATGATAGGTTTAGTTTTGAATTGATGGTTGAGATGTATTGTTTTACTAATCAACTAATGTAATTTATCTAATACTTCATATCTCAAACAATTTGAACCATTATAAAAAAAAAAATTGAGTAAATTGATTAAAAGTATACAAAAAAAATTATATTAACTTTTTTTTTGTTCCTTTAAGAGAATTGATTAAAGTAAAATTTTGATTTTAATTTTATATAATTTTTTTATTTAAATCAAACAAGTATTCCTAATCAAATGTATTTATAAATCTTCTTTCAATTAAGAGTTAAAAAAAGAAATTTAAATACCTTCAAGAGAATAATGATGAAAAATATTCACAAACATGTAGCTATATCAAGAAATTAATAGCCAGTGGTAAATATTAATATGAAATAATATTTTACAAGAGTTCTTGGCTACGTGGCCTTTCTTCCATGGAGACCAAGCTCGAGTCCCCAGTCCTCTGTCTGGTCATGACAAACCATTAATTGTCTTCCACAGAATTCAAGTTCGATGTCTTGAAGGTTGCAAGATGGAACTTTGAATTTTCTTTTCTTGGCACGAGAATGACTTTTTTTTTATCATAAAAAAACTAATTTGAAGGAAAAAAAATTCAAGATTGGTTAAAAATGCAGCCGAAAACAAACGCTAAATTAATATTTATTGAAAGAAAAAAAATATGAGACACATATTTACGTATTTATTTCAAATTGTCATTTTCGCTTTAATGAATGCATCAACCACCACATGCAAATAATTATAAATGACAACAAATACTTTTAGATTTATTGGGATTTTATTATTGAAATAATGTAATGAGTAAATGGAAATTTAACCAAATTTGATAGATATTGAAAAATAGGTTTAACTTTAATTTTTTTCATATATATATATATTTTGGATTTAAATGAAAATTGATTGAGAATATCGTATGGTAATAAAATAAATAAATAAATGATGGGAAGATGGCATTGGGCAAACCATGTTGAATGTGTCCAAAAGAAAGCTAAGTTGACTTAGGATCCGAAACAACAGACTTTGATTTCTTTGGCAAATGCTTACGTAGCATATTGAGACAAAGTCTTGCTTTCTCTCATTCAGACTCTATTAAACTAGCTGTAGTGTACATTCTTGCCCCTCACCATCTCAATTTTGCCTGCAAAATTCTTTAGCAGCAGCCATGGATGTCCGAAACAATCCATGGATCATGTTTTTTGTTATCTTTTTTTGTTTTCCTCTCAACTCCCATGTCTCCCTTGGAGCTGATACAATCTCTGCAAACACTTCTCTCTCTGGAGACCAAACTATTGTCTCAGCACGCAAAGCCTTTGAACTTGGTTTCTTCCATCCAGGAAACTCCTCAAATTACTATATAGGCATGTGGTACTATAGAGATAAAGTGTCTGAACAGACCATAGTTTGGGTAGCAAACAGAGAGACACCCGTTTCTGATAGATTTTCTTCAGAGTTAAGGATTTCTGGTGGTAATTTAGTGCTCTTTAATGAGTCCAATATCCCAATTTGGTCCACAAATTTGAGCTCTAGTAGGTCAAGTTCTGTGGAAGCAGTTCTTGGTGATGATGGAAATCTTGTTTTGAGAGATGGGTCTAATTCATCAGTGTCACCGCTATGGCAGTCTTTTGATTTTCCAGCGGATACATGGCTGCCTGGTGCCAAGGTTGGATTGAACAAAATCACCAAAAGGAACACACTTCTCATTTCATGGAAAAGCAAAGATAATCCTTCACCGGGTCTTTTCTCTCTTGAGCTAGACCCAGATCAGAGTCGATATTTGATCTTTTGGAATAGGTCTAAAGACTATTGGAGTAGTGGATCATGGAATGGACTGATTTTCAGCTTAGTTCCTGAAATGAGATCCAACTATATTTACAACTTTAGTTATGTTAACGATACTAAGGAGAGCTATTTCACCTATTCATTGTACAATAAAACACTCATATCTCGGTTTGTGATGGCGGCTGGAGGACAGATTCAGCAACAATCATGGTTGGAGAGTACCCAGCAATGGTTTTTGTTCTGGTCTCAACCAAAGACGCAATGTGAGGTTTATGCTTACTGCGGGGCTTTCGGAAGCTGTAATGGGAATTCACAGCCTTTCTGCAACTGCTTGAGAGGTTTCAACCCGAAAAAAGGGGATGACTGGAAGTCGGAGGTTTTTTCTGGTGGATGTAAGAGGGTATCAACTCTGCAATGTGGGAATTCTAGTATTGTTAATGGGAAGAGAGACAGATTTTTCTCAAGTAACAATATCAAGTTGCCTGCAAATCCACAGACAGTACTGGCAGCCAGGAGTGCACAAGAATGCGAATCAACTTGCTTGAGCAACTGCACTTGTACTGCCTATGCTTATGATGACAGTCTGTGCTCAGTTTGGTTCGGCGATCTTTTGGATATGAAACAACGTGCAGATGAATCAAATGGAAGCACCATCTATATCAGGCTTGCAGCATCTGAGTTTTCAAGTTCGAAGAATGATAAGGGGATAGTTATTGGTGGTGTTGTGGGCTCAGTGGTGATAGCGTCTCTCTTTGGCCTTGTTCTGTTTGTATTTTTGAGGAGGAGGAAACCAGTCAACACGGGGAAAGCGGTAGAAGGTTCACTGATAGCTTTTGGGTACAGAGATCTACAGAATGCGACAAAGAATTTCTCAGAGAAATTGGGAGGAGGAGGTTTTGGTTCTGTTTTCAAAGGGGTGTTGCCTGATACGAGTGTCATAGCTGTGAAGAAGCTCGAAAGCATCATCCAAGGGGAGAAGCAATTCCGCTCAGAAGTAAGCACAATCGGGACAATCCAGCACGTCACTCTTGTTCGCCTTCGTGGGTTCTGCTCGGAGGGTAATAAGAAGCTGTTGGTCTATGACTACATGCCGAATGGTTCTCTTGATTCCCATCTTTTCTCTGAGGACTCAAAAAAGGTCTTAGACTGGAAAACTCGGTACGGTATTGCTTTGGGGACAGCTAGAGGATTATATTATCTCCATGAGAAATGCAGGGATTGTATCATACACTGCGATATAAAGCCTGAGAACATCCTTTTAGATGCTCAGTTTTTCCCTAAAGTGGCAGATTTTGGCCTGGCGAAGCTTGTCGGCCGGGATTTTAGCAGGGTGCTAACAACCATGAGAGGTACAAGAGGTTATCTTGCACCAGAGTGGATTTCTGGTGTGCCTATAACTGCCAAAGCAGACGTTTACAGTTATGGAATGATGCTTTTTGAAGTTGTATCAGGAAGGAGAAACTCTGAGCAATCTGAAGATGGAAAAGTGAAGTTCTTCCCAAGTTATGCTGCAAGCCAAATCAATCAAGAGCATGGTGAAATCCTTAGCCTATTGGACCACAGGTTGGAGGGGAATGCTGATCTTGAAGAGCTAACAAGAATCTGTAAAGTTGCTTGTTGGTGCATCCAAGATGATGAAGTCCACAGGCCATCAATGGGTCAGGTAGTTCAGATCCTCGAAGGGCTTGTGAACGTGAACCCACCTCCGGTTCCAAGATCTCTCAAAGTGTTTGTTGACATCCAGGAGAGCATAATTTTCTTCACAGAGTCATCCTCTAGCCAAAGTTCACAGGCACAGAGCCACACCTCCACTGCTTCTTCTCAGACCAAGAGCACCACATAAAACACAAGTTCCAAGTCTTAAAAAAGAGAACCAAGAAGGCATTTCGAGAAATCGGGTTAGAGTAACTGTGTAATGCTGCTGTTATATATGCAATAGTCTTGGATGATTGTACTAGATAAAATTATCCTCTTTAAATGGTTTGTATATTATTTGTAAGCTAATTTCAGAATATTTCTGAGGATGGCAGAAATGCTGTGGCTTCTACTGTCGTGAAAGCCTGCTTCTTAATACATTTTATGTTTCATGCTTCATGACATCAACCTCAGCTTGTAACTGGTTTTTAAGATATCTCGACACAGCTAAATATATACACAATCTTTGACAAGGGCAAGCAGCGGCTGTTAGCAAGTCTAATCAGACCATTTCATCAGGCTCAATCCATGTTGGGAAAACTAGTAACAACCGGATATCAATTTACCCGAATTAATTCAGCAGAATACAATTCACAATTCACAAGTCCCAATTCTTTTCCTCTTTGTGTAGTAAAACAGAATCAAACAATGACCAAATATAATACAAATAATCACAAAATCAACACCAAGACTTTTTAACGTGGAAAATCCAATGTGGGAAAAACCACGGGACCGTAGTCTACCTAAAAACTTCCACTATCAACAAATAATGGGTTCACAATCATTCTTTCTCAGATTCAACTAAGGGGTACAACATATATATCATCAAGAACAACTTATTCTCGGATTACAACAAGATTAAAGGAGAATTATTTGAGAAAAACTCACAAAACTGACAGCCCTGTTTTCTGTCAAAACGACCAGCTTTCACACCACCAATCTTCGATCCAACCGTCCAGAATGAAGATCAACGTGTCTAGAAGCTGCTGTCAAAATCTCAGCCCGATCCAACGGTGAACGAGCTGGAAATCGAAGGAAGAACACAGGCTACTCTGCTGCCTTTTCTTCTCTTTCTCTCTCTTGATTTTCTTCTCCTCTCTTCTATTTTCAATTCTTCCGCCACAATACCCAAACCATTTAATTTTAAAGTGGTCATCTGCCTCTCTTCTCAATAAATGTGGTGGTCTTACCATCACATGGTGCGGGACCACACACAACAAATCTCCCCCTCACGCACCATGTGAGGAATTTGTCATACCAGCGATCAATATGTAAAATTCAATTTAGGAGACTCTGACAAGCCTGCTTCCCTTCTGCAAAACTCAAACTTCTCTCTCGGTAGAGGTTTGGTCATCATGTTAGACACGTTGTCATCAGTATGGATCTTTTCAACAACGAATGACTTCATCTCCATAGCATCTCGAATCTATTGATATCTAACTTCAATGTGCTTTGATCGAGAGTGAAAAGTAGGATGCTTACTGAGATGGATTGCACTTTGACTATCACAGTGCAACACAAAGTTCTCTTGAACTAGGCCAAGTTCATGCAAGAACTTCTTCATCCATAACAACTTTTTGCCCCCTTCAGTAAGAGCAATGTATTCAGCCTCTGTAGTGGATAATGCAACACATTTTTGCAATCTTGATTGCCATGAGACTGCTCCCCCTACAAACTTCATCAAGTATCCTGATGTGGACTTTCTAGAATCAACATCACCAGCCATATCTGCATCTGTGTATTCATCCAACACAGGTTTATCATTACCAAAACATAAGCTAAAACTAGAAGTACCTTTGAGATACCTGAGTATCCATTTCACTACTGACCAATGTTCTTTACCAGGATTGGAGAGGAATCGACTAACCACACCAACTGCATGAGCTATATCTGGCCTTGTGCAAACCATGACATACATCAAGCTACCAACTGCGAATGTATAAGGAACCTTTTTCATCTCATCTTTTTCTTCATCACTTGAAGGACACTGCTTAGAACTTAGTTTAAAGTGGCTTGCAAGTGGAGAACAAACAGGTTTGGAGTTGCTCATATTGAATCTCTCAAGTACCTTTTGAACATATCTCTCCTGAGATAGCCAAAGTTTCCCCTTTTTCCTGTCATTTGTAATCTTCATGCCAAGAATCTGTTTTGTTGGTCCTAAGTCTTTCATTGCAAAAGACTTGCTCAACTCTTCCTTCAACATCTGAATCTTCTTAGCATCATGGCCAACAATCAACATATCATCTACATACAACAAGAGAATAATTAAGTTTCCATCTGGAAACTTTTTCATAAATACACAATGATTAGAAGTGGTCCTGTCATAACCATGATCCACCATGAAAGAATCAAACTTTTTATACCATTGTCTTGGAGCTTGCTTTAACCCATATAAGCTCCTTTTCAACTTATAAACTAGCTGCTCTTTGCCTTTTGCTTCAAACCCTTTAGGCTGCTCCATGTAGATTTCCTCATCTAAATCACCATGGAGAAAGGCAGTTTTCACATCAAGTTATTCAACTTCAAGATTCAAACTAGCAGCTAAGCCAAGCACAACTCGGATTAAAGACATCTTGACCACTAGTGGAAAGATTTCTTCAAAATCAATACCCTTCTTCTGACCGAAGTCTTTCACAACCAATCTTGCCTTGTACCTTGGTTGTGAGCAATGTTCATCAATTTTCAACCTGAACACCCATTTGTTCTTGAGTGCTCTCTTACCTTTAGGAAGCTTCACTAACTCAAAAGTATGGTTTTCATGCAAAGATTTCATCTCTTCTTGCATTGCTTTCAACCACTCACTTTTCTTCTCATTTGACATAGCTTCATCAAAGCATTCTGACTCTCCCCCATCAGTGACCAACACATATTCATGAGGAGAATATCTGGTGGAAGATTGGCAAGGTCTAGTTGACCTCCTCAATTATGGCTCATCTGGAGCTTCCTGCATAACCTGTTCAGGAATAACATCAATATCATCATTAGCTGCTTCAGGATCACCAACTAATGGCTCAATAAGAGAACCACCACCACCATTATTTTGCAAGTCTCCCCTATGATTAACAGGCATCAAAGGTAACTGTGGAGTAGGTCTTGGAGTTGAATTAGATGGAATAAAAATAGTAGACTCTGTTTTCTCTTTCTGTTCAAAGTCTTCAATGGTTTGATCTTCAAAGAAGATAACATCTCTGTTTCTCACAATTTTCTTCTCCTTTGGATCCCACAACCTATAGCCAAACTCATCATCTTTAGAGCCCAAGGTTATACACTGCTTTGTCTTGCTGTCAAGCTTAGACCTTTCATCTCTAAGAACATGTACAAATGTCTTGCATCCAAACACTCTCAAATGTGCATAAGAGACATCTTTTCCTTTCCAAACTCTATCTGGAACATCAAATTCAAGAGGAACTGATGAAGAAAGGTTGATCATGGCAACTGCAATCTTCATTGCCTCACCCCAAAAGGACTTAGACAGCTTTGCATGAGAGAGCATACATCTAATTCTTTCAACAATGGTTCTGTTCATTCTCTCAGCCACTCCATTCTACTGTGGAGTCTTAGGAACTGTCTTCTCCAACTTGATACCATATTCCCTGCAGTATTTCTCAAAAGGACCCTTGTATTCACCACCATTGTCAGCTCGAACACATTTAAGCTTTCTATCAGTTTCTCTTTCAACTCTGGCATGGAAATCCTTAAAGACATCAAGCATCTGATCTTTGGATTTCAAACAAGTGGCCCAAATTTTTCTGGAGTGATCATTAATAAAACTAACAAAGTACAATGCACCCCTAAGAGACTTATCAATCATAGAGCAAACATTAGTATGAACTAAATCAAAAACATGTGATCTTCTATGTGAAGGTGATATTTGAAACGCAACTCTGTGTTGTTTGCCAACTAAACAATGAGTACATGTGTTCAAGTTCATACCTTTTAATGGAAGGTAGTTTTTCTTGGCAAGGATGCCAAGGCCTTTCTCACTCAAATGTCCAAGCCGTTTATGCCACAGATCAGTAGAGCAATCTTCAATTGCATTCACCTCCCCTTTAATCACCTTAGCTTGTGACATGTAGAGACCCATCTTCTTCCCTTTAGCAACAATCAGGGAATTTCTGGAAAGCTTCCATTTACCATCTCCAAAGTAATTGTGATAGCCTTCTTCATCAAGAGTACCTGTATAGATCAAGTGTAGGCGCATATCAGGCACATGCCTAACATCTTTGAGTAGCAACTTGCACCCAGTATTGACTTTTAACCAAATGTCTCCAATGCCCACAACACTAGCCATCCCTTGATTTCCCATCCTAACTTGACCAAAGTCTTCAGCAGTGTGGGATGTGTAAAAATCACGTTAGGGTGTAACATGGTAAGAATCTGCTGAATCTGCAACCTAGGTGGTATCCTAACATGCAAGATTAACAAAACCATCATCACAAATAATGGCAACATCACCATCAAATACAACTGCAGCTATACCATTCTCTTTATTCTTGTCTTCGTCTTTACCCTTTTTATCTCTTTTATACTTTCTGCAATCTTTTTGTATATGCCTAGGCTTGTCACAATAATAGCACTTAAAACCCTTCCTTGACTGAGATCTTCCTCTTAGCTTCCATTTGCCTTTTTTATTGCTGGATTCTCTATCTTGCTTGCTGTGAGAGAACTTGCTTGGACTTCTCCCTCGACTTTCTGTAACAAGTGCATGGACTCAGAAGTGCTTGTGCCTTTCCTCCTCTTCTCTTCATTGAGGATACAATCCTTCACTGTTTTTAAAGTGATCTTCCCATTCGGAGTAGAATTGCTAAGTGACACCACCAAAGTCTCCCAACTATCCGGCAATGAACTCAGTAGGATTAGTGCTTGCATTTCATCAGCTAACTCCAGATTCATCAATGACAACTGATTCAAGAACCCTTAGAATATATTTATATGCACTGAAGCATCTTCTCCATCTCTATACTTCAAATTCACAAGGTCTCTAATTACAAAAACCTTGTTTTGTGCACTCTCCTTAGCAAATGTTTCTTCCAACATCTTCCAAACTGTATAACAATTATGTTCTTGAGAAATATGATTAATGGACTTAGAAGATACCCATTTTCTAACATTAGCAGTAGCCTTTCTATTAAGCCCATTCCATTTTGCATCATCCATATCATCAGGCTTTATTCCTTTACATTCAATCGGCAAAGCCAAATCATTGCAATATAAGTGATCCTCCATCATTGTTTTCCATAGAAAATAATTTGAAGAAGTAAGCTTTATCATGCCCGAATCTTCCTTTTCCATTTTAACTGTACAAGAAATTCAATCTACACAACCAAAGCTCTGATACCACTTTGTTGGGAAAACTAGGAACAACCGGACACCAATTTACCCAGATCAATTCAGCGAAATACAATTCA